GGAAAGATCAACCAAAGGACTTATATGCAAGCATATAGGCCTAACCAATGGACACGGACAACGGGGGGGTGAGGGCATGAGCGGGGTGGGGGGTAGAGGGTAACGTGGGGACTGGGTGCATGTATGAGGGGAGGTGTGTGAGAGGGGAGGTGCGCGTGTGAGGAGGTGCGCGTGTGAAGAGGGTGCCTGTATGAGGGGAGGTGCGCGTGTGAGGAGAGTGCTCGCGTGAGGGGAGGTGTGCGTGTGGAGAGGGTGCATGTATGAAGAGGGTGCGCATGTGAGGGCAGTGCATGTGTAAAGAGTCGTGTATGAGGAGTCGTGTGTGCATGAGGCAGTTGCGCATGTGAGGAGGTACCTCTGACTACGCGTATGTGGGTGAGGTGTATGCGCATGTGAGGGGAAGTGTGCGTATGTGAAAAGGCTGCAGTTGTGAGGAAGGTGCGCTCGTGAGGGGAGGTGTGCGTGTGTGAAGAGCGTGCATGTATGAGGAGGGTGCATGAGTGAGGGGAGGTGTGCGTGTCTGAGGAGTGTGCACACGTGAGGGGAAGTGTGCATATGTGAGAAGGCTGCATGTGTGAGGAGCGTGCATCTGTGAGGAGTGTGCACACGTAAGGGGAGGTGTGCGTGTGTGAAGAGCGTGCATGTATGAGGAGGGTGCATGTATGAGGAGGGTGCGTGTGTGAGGAGTGTGCACACGTGAGGGGAAGTGTGCATGTGTGAGAAGGCTGCGTGTGTGAGGAGGGTGCATCTGTGAGGAGTGTGCACACGTAAGGGGAAGTGTGCATATGTGAGAAGGCTGCGTGTGTGAGGAGGGTGCATCTGTGAGGAGGGTGCACACGTAAGGGGCGGTGTGTGTGTGTGAAGAGCGTGCTTGTATGAGGAGGGTGCATGTGTGAGGAGGATGCATGCATGAGGAGGGTGCATGTATGAGGAGGGTGCGTGTGTGAGGAGTGCGCACACGTGAGGGGAAGTGTGCATGTGTGAGAAGGCTGCGTGTGTGAGGAGGGGGCATGTGTGAGGAGAGGTTGCATGTGTGAGGAGGGTGCATGTATGAGGAGGGTGCGTGTGTGAGGAGTGTGCACACGTGAGGGGCGGTGTGCGTGTGTGAAGAGCGTGCATGTATGAGGAGGGTGCATGTATGAGTAGTGTGTACGCTTGAGAGGAGGTGTGCGTGTGTGAGGAGCGTGCATGTATGAGGAGGGTGCATGTTTGAGGAGGGTGCATGTGTGAGGAGGATGCATGCATGAGGAGGGTGCATGTATGAGGAGGGTGTATCTATGAGGAGGGTGCATGTTTGAGGAGGGTGCATGTGTGAGGAGGGTGCATGTGGGAGGGGAGATTGCATGTGTGAGGAGGGTGCATGTATGAGGAGGGTGCATGTGTGAGGGGAAGTGTGTGTATGAGGACTGTGCGCGTGTGAGGAGATGCACGTGTGAGTTCGTGAGGGAGCGGCATGTGGGAGGCCCTTTGTGAGGGAGGTGGACACACGTGTGGGAAGGCGCATGTAGGTCTGTGCAGGAGGATGAGGGCGGTGCAGGGGCAGGGAGCGGGTGGGAGCTGGGAGGCTGGAGAGCAGGCGCCTGGAGGGGGTGAACCTGAAGCTGGGGGAATGGGACCCAGGAACCTGAAGGCAGGGGTGGGAGCTGCACAGGTAGGGCTGGGAGGCCAGGCTGAGAGCTGGGCGGGCGCACACTGGGGAGGGGCCTCTGGAGATCCATCAAGGTGGCATGATGGGAGATCCGGTTAGGGATGGAGTCCAGAGATGTCAAGAGACGGGGTATGAAGAGTAGGAGCAGTGGGAGTGGTAGTGTCAGGAGAGACAATGCCCTAAGACGAGGGGATTGAGTCATTTTAAGTACATGAAAACGTGGGGCTTAGAATGCCACCTTCTAGCCTGGGAAGAGTTCAAGGAAAGGGGCAGTTGTGAGACAAGTGAAATGAGTGAGGTGAACGGTAACCTGGCTCAGCAATTAGGGTAAGTCAGGAATTCTTGGAGAAAATGACTTTGTTAGAGGGATAAGCGACTTGATTTAGAGGACGTCTCCACACACCTTCCAGGCGGCTGATTGGGTCTCCGTGTAATGTCACAGGACTGATGTCCAGGTAGGGACTGGGGATTTTATCTTCCAACCAGAAAGAACGGGAAAGTAGTGCCTCTTTTTCTTCTCCTGTTTTAACAACCTGCTACTGCAAGGACTTCAGCGCTAGGGATCCATGGAATTGGGTATATTTCTCATATATTTTTTTTTCCCTCGCTGTCTCTTTAGAGTGTGAACATGGCTACGCCTCAACGTTTCCCTCCATGCCGAGCCCCCGGCTGCAGCATTCGAAGCCCCCACGGAGGTTGAGCCGGGCACAGAAACACAGCAGCGGGAGCAGCACCACCAGCACTGCCAACAGGTAGCAAGCTGGGGAGGCTTAGAGAGGACAGCAGGAGGGAGGGACGGAGGGAGGGAGGGAGGGAGAGAGGGAGCACACACTCAGGTACAAGCGCCAGGCCTGCTGACCGCAGGTCTCTAACACCAAGTGTGGAGCAACACTGCCCACCCAGATGGGTCCTTTTACCAGCACCCCTGGGGATGTGGCCCTTTTAACGTAATGAAGTGTAGGAACCATAACCTGACTTGGTGTAGAAGGGAAGGAATAGAACCTGGAAGGACAACCAAACAAGTTGTTCCTGTTATGCATGTCAAACATTGGTCTTGTATGTCATGGCATTGAGTGGGAGGTCTATGATTTGGAGGGGCAGTGGGCTGACAGGCTTTGCAGCGTGTGTACATGCATGCAGTGACATGCTAAACGTAAGCTTGGGCCCCGCTTTAAACTTGGGATGATCCAAGAAGAATTTTTTAAAAATCAGAAATATCTCAGGCAGGACATAAAGCAGAATTAAGGGTTTTGTTAAAGGAACAGACATATTGTATTAGGTACAGTAGGAAGTTAGTGGGCATGGTCTGTTGGTTGTTTATGGATGAAAGGGAAGAACAGGCTATGAAGGTTTTGCCTTTTACTTAATAAGATTGAATTGGTAAGAGCAAAAAAAGAAAGAAAAAAGGAAAGCTGCTTATTCTTCAGTCAGAACAGACCCCTAGAAAATGCTTGTCTGGATGACTCAGACACAGTTGACTTCCATTTTTTGAAAATTTTTGGTGGTGACTGGCTGTCTTTTCAGTGTTCTTGTTCGAGAGGGCCAGTGAATTCTAAGGATTCATCTCATGAGAATTTCCAAAGGCTGTCTTAAAACAGAGGCTGCCTTTTCCATGGATGAGAGGAATTGAGATGTTTCCCCCTGAGTCCCAAAGCTTTGTCTAGGCAGCGGTTCTCAACCTGTGGGTCGTGACCCCTTTGGGGGTCCAACGACCCTTTCACAGGGGTCGCCTAAGACTATTGGAAAACACATATATAATTACATAGTGTTTTTGTGATTAATCACTAGGCTTTAATTATGTTCAATTTGTTACAATGAAATTGGGGGTCACCACAACATGAGGAACTGTATTAAAGGGTCGCGGCATGAGGAAGGTTGAGAACCACTGGATATAAACATGCATTTTGGAGGGGCAGAGAGCAATCTCTGAAGGCTTTGGAGAACGCCAGACAAGCGGTTGGATAGTCACTTAGGAAGGCAGCAGGACCAGGGACTTTTACTGATTGATGCAGGAAACCTAAAACTCCTGTAGAGGACAGAGCTAGAAAGGTTAGATTTTCCCATTCTGCATTTATAACATCACTGAAGCAAAACTCGGATTCGCTCTTCTCCCTTTGACCCGTCTATAAAGCTGTATGTTTCCTTTTTTGGCTGCTTTTCTTCTTCAAGATTATTCTGTATTTTTTAAACTTACTTTAAAAATAATTAACCATAAGCTTAATATACCGTATTTACGTTTATGTGTGGATCTAGACCAGTGATGGCAAACCTTTTGAGCTCAGCGTGTCAGCATTTTGAAAAACCCTAACTTAACTCTGGTGCCGTGTCACATATAGAAATTTTTTGATATTTGCAACCATAGTAAAACAAAGATTTATATTTTTGATATTTGTTTTATATATTTAAATGACATTTAACAAAGAAAAATCAACCAAAAAAATGAGTTCGCGTGTCATAGGTTCGCCATCACTGGTCTAGAGGGTTTATTGTGGTATAGTAGGTTTGGGATGAAAATATATAATATGATAAGCATCATTTAAAAAATGTAAGTGTAAATTTTCTTGCTCTTCATAGTTCCTCTGGTTAAGGAATCAGCAATTAAGACATATTCATAATTTGTGTGTTTTTTCAATCCATGGGTAGATTAAAAAAAATCTTTTTTTTAAAATTTGGAGACCTGAGAAGAGTACCAGATAGAACACCAGACTTGGATTCTGTTATGCTACAAGTATTTATTGAGTCTTTTATCTAATAGAAATCAGGTATATGACCTCATTGCATTTTCTCTCTGCCCCTTGACATTCTTATTTTTAAAATAAGGGGATAGACTACATATTCCCCAAGGTCCTTTCTTCCCTCAAATTCTATGACACTGATTTATTGACAGTTTTAGAGATCAGTTCCTCTATTAGTTATTCACTCCACCACCCCATCATTTCAGATGTGACATTTTTATTAACAGCTCAGAGATTACAGAGACATAAATAAATGTGCATTTCTAGATTTTTTACCTATTATATTACAGGTCATTAATAAGTCTTTGTCATCTTTTGACTCCTACTTTGCTCAGCTTGGGGTTTTGACTAAGTGGTATTTCTCTTTCACGCTAGTATTCCTGTCAGGATTCTACTATTGTGTGTGGGACCACAGTGCTAATTACTGTGTGTTTTCATATAGCATGTCAGAAAATTTGTAAAACTAGAAGAATTCTATGTTCTTACAGTATACCCAAGGGAAAATAACTACATGCACATTGGACCACCTAAGACTAAGGAAGGTAATTTTTCATGGGAATATAAGTAGAGAGAGAAATAGATTTTAGAATATATTACATCAAGGTTCTCTCATGGGTGAGATTTAAACTGGGACCTATAGATAAAAATTAGTATGTTAAAGCAAAACACTAGAAATTATTCCTCCTTACTGTTTTTTTAAAAAAATTTCTGCTTCATGAAGTAGGGGAGCCAAGAATTAAATTCCAATGCTGGAGTACTTGGGAAATAGTGTTGTTAGTCCTTTTGTAAGGGGAAACTGTAGACTTCCTGTTAACTTGAAGCCTATTACTGGATTTAATAGAGATTTTATTATACTGGTTACATAAAGCAGGAAGAAAGAAAACTTGTAAAAATTTTCCATTTATTAGTAATCTGAAAGAAGGAAAGGAATAGAGTCGATGCGTATATATGTCTTATTTTCCTGACAAAAAAAGCTACCTTTGTGGAAGTTTTTGTTCCTGTTATGCATTTCAAACATTGGTCTTGTATGTCATAAAATGACATTTGTTTCCTTGACATGGCAACATCTTTAAGATACAATGTTGATTGAGTTTTTCCCCCTAATAATTTCAGATATAATAAGATAATCCTGATATCAAATGTTATTGTACAAATTTATGTTGCTGGTTGATTCCTAATAGTATACATTTCTATTCCTCCTTTCCCCTAAGTCTTGAAATCTTCTTTTCACAGAAGTACAAAGGAGAGAAAATAAGTGCTATAATGTAATGTTGTAAACTTCCCAGTAATTTTGGGAAATTCCAGTAATTTTGACATTTGGAATCTTTGATATGTAATTATTTTTTGAATACATGATCGACTTTACTGTCGTCTTGGTCCTGGGCTTCTGGCACACTCCCTGAAATCACCCTTGCTAAGATGGTACTGCTATTAGAGAGCCTGGCTACAGTTGCTATCTGGCTTATTGAGGAGCATCAGATAAGCTCAAATTCCCAGATTATTCACTGTTTTGTTTCACAACGGAAAAAATATCTCAAGATCTGTCATCTTTAAAATGCTGCTAACTCTGTGGCTTCAGTGTATAACACTGATTTCTTCCTCAGTATCTCTTCAGTCTGCCTCCCATCTTCATTACTACCCTCCTAATCTAAGACACCGTCATCTCTCACCTGGACGACTGCCATAACCTCCTAACTGGTATCTCTGCAACCACTCTTACCCCAGAGATAATTCTGATGTTTCCTCCTATCTTTTTACCCGTACTCTGTTCTCTGCTGGGGAATAATTTTTCTTCCCCTTTGGCCAATTTATCTCTGCCTAATAACACTCTTGTTTCCTCTTCAGGAAAGCTTCTCCTCACACGCAAAAGTAAATCAGATGTTCACATACCTCATAGCACCCTTATTTTTCCTTCTTATAGTATGCAGAAATATAGTTACCTGATTGATTAATTCATGTCTCATTCGCTGTTCTAACTCCATGAAGGCAGGAATTGAATCTCTTCTACTTAAAAATGTACCCCCAGTACCTATCACGGTGCCCTGTATACAGTAGATGTTTCTTAAAGAATGGAAGGTTTTAAGACTCCAGGTGGACTGTTAGTTGAAACAGACTTTCTCTTTTGTGCTGCATACCATATTAGACTCTTGAAGGAACAAAGATGGGAGAATATGCAACTCTTACTTTAGCAAACTCTTTGATTACGTTGTATTCTAAAGATGTTAATGATAACATATTTGGAAAGGAAAACAATACATAATATTTGAAGAATAAAAATCTTCAAACCACCAGTTCTATAGAATGTTACAATTAATTTTAAAGAACACTTACTGTGTTCTTTGTCATGTGAAAACAAAATCTCAAAATTTGTGTATGCAAAGAACCATATGTCTGTCAAATATTGATATGTACCTGTGACATATGCATAGTAATTGCATTATTTTAAAGTGATCTAGAAAGTAGTGAGTATAAATTTATGTTTGAATTTCAAGTTGATGAAAAATTACTTCTCTTTAGTATCTTGAATGATTAACACAGTCTGTGTGATATGTTCTGTGATATTGTCTTCCACTAAAATCGAGTTTAAATGAAAAATTCTCAAGAATTATTTATATACTTCTAAACAAACTCAGACTTTTCATTAAATGCTTCATTGAAGCATAAGTTTGCTGTTGCTGGGTTTCTTAAAGATATATTCCTCTGTGGAAATATCTTTTGAAGGAGACTTAAATGATCTTGCCTTCTAAGTCAGTAGGGTAACTGCTTCTGTTTCTATTTGATGAGAGGCCTTTTGCCAGAATATTAAATATATGATGTGGATAAGATCACAAATCATAGAAAGAGAATTCAAGATTTCATCTTGCATAGTTCTCTGCTTTATGAAGGTAAAATATTACCACTCATTTTATGATTAAAGCACATGTGGCCTAGAGATGGTAAGTGATTTGCCCAAGCGTGATAGGTATAGGTGATGGTTGACTTTAGTATCAAATTGGATTCTAAGTGGTATATACTAA